CCCTCTCATTTTACTTCAGGAAATGGTTTGAATCTAGACTGTTTTTATGTCCATAAGTTTTGAGATTTTATCAAATTCTTTTTGTTGAATTTTAAAGTGACTTCAGGTAGAAAGACCACTAAACCAAACACCTTCTATTTATCTAAGTCAAATACACCTATACATGGTCCCCTTGATTCTGAAGCCACTGCTGGGGGGAAAGTATCCCAAAATAACTGAGGAATTTTAAATGGCTAAATTCCCACAGCAACTCAACATCTAGCTCGATCTCTCTCTCTCCCTCCATCTCCCCCCCCCTTTAAATTTTTGTTTAAAATTTAAAAGCAAAACTACTTTCAACATGTATACCTCACAGCTCACTATCTGTGGCACGGGAGAGACAGTTCCTTTTGAAGCATTTTAAAGGATTCATATCTGTATATATGCTCCACTTACATGAGCTGAACACTTTACGGTGGACATTGCAACCTATCTTGATAATCTGGGTATATTAAATTTATCCAATGTGTTTCTTTTAAGCCTCCCTTCTGAATTCCTTCAGTTTCTCCCATTCCCTGCATCTGGACACCCAGCAATGCCACATCTCTTCTCTTTTGTTATTTCTTTACTTTTCTCCTTCATAGTTTCCAATTCTCCCAAGAAGAAAGAATCCCAGCATTGCCCCCAGCTAATTTCTTAGTTACCAAAACATGAAAGTGTTCATTCTTTATTGACTTTTCGGGGCACAGCCATACATGACTTTCCTACATGTCCCATGGAAATACTTCAATGCGTCCACAGTGGATGAACAGAACTTACTGTTAACTGTAATTGCCGAATCTGACTTGCCCTTGATGCAATGCATACTGGCCTGTGTAATTCTAGGCCAGTATTACAGTATGCTGTCTTTATTCATATCAGTTCTAAATTCTCACAGATTATCCAAAGCAGGCTAGGCATCTAGTCATTTTAAAGCCCGGTTTTGCCACTGTTTCTGAAAACTTCTTGTCCCAGAGAAATTAATATCCCATGGTTCGCCTTTCCATGTGCTTCCTTTCCTGGAAGACACTATATAGCTCATGACGTGTACTCGGTTTACAAGGGACTGGAGGAGGGGATCACAGCTGCATCTTTCTCTCGGTTTCTTCGTCCTGGGATCAGTGACACTGAAAGGAAATATGATAAAAGACGAATGACTGGCCTAGTCATGGGGACAGTTTAGTGACACGAGTTAAGTTCTCAAAAGCAATTTAAGAGAGACAGAGTGACAAGCCTGGGCAGAAAAATACAGCCACCAGGAAAAACAAAACAAAACAAAACAAAACAAAACACTGAGACAAATTACTCTGAAATATAAATATTCAATAAACTCATGATGAAATATTTAACTTAATTAGCATTAGAAAAAAATACACATTCATTTTAAGTTGTTTTTCTTTCGCCTATTTTGCCGGGATTAAATATTAGTGATTGTTTGTGATGTTGGCAGAAGCAAAGATCATTCTCAACAACTCTAGAAGTATAAAATAATTTAGGCTTGCTAAAGGGCAACTTAGCCACATGCATTTAAATGAAAAGAAAAAAGCAGGGTGGGGCAGGTGTCGATTGCATTGTAGATTCCTATAAAACAGTTACTCTAGCTATTTTGGGGGTGAGGACTATAGGGATTTTCTTTCTTTTGCTTATCTGTAACATATAAAGTTTCTCAGTGCACATGCAACCCTACTATAATAAAAATGTAATAAGCACAACCGTGTGCGTTGTTCTGTGTGTTGATAAAGCTATCATCTTAAGGGAGTCAAGAAATTGGCTTTGTCAGTACTTTTTAAAAAAATCAAATAAGAGTATTTCAGATATAAATTAATATGTAACTTGATTTATTTAAACTGGGCCTAGTGAATTCACTAGGAAGCAGGTATTAATCAAGCCGTCAAATCATTTAACATATATATTTCAAAAGGTTTTTAAATCCAGAGGTAGGTTTAATGTAGCCCTACTTCTTGGTGTTTGACATTTGTTCAGAACACACATGCTCACATGTTTAATTTAACACTAAGAGAATATGCAAAACATCCTAAGCAAAGGAGTTATAACAGACGACACATCAGAGAAGACCATGTTCTCTTGTGAACCATCAAGATCTTAAAATTTTAGTAGATGAAATACAGCCATTTGTTTGTTGATCTAAGTAATTACACTTCCAAATTATTGCATGATCTTCGTTCTGGGAAGGGCATTGCACTTCATAATTTGTGAAATTATAAGCTTATCATTTCATTTATACATGTTTACCGAAAGCATCAACAGAGGGCAAGGGCACGTGTCTCTCGTGATGAGAACATGAAGTTTCTCATTCCCCGCTGATTTAAATCCTTTCCCCTGGAATTCAAGGGACAAACTCTATCACCCCAATCGACTCTTATCTGTTCCCTT